TTCTGTTTGCTGCCCAGCTCGCCGTGTCTGCCCTGGGCAGAGTCCCTCGATCTATCTGTGCCGGTTGGGTTTCCTTTTCCCTGGCCAGGGGGGAGGCGAGGTTTGACTTGATGGTTGCCGGCCCGCCGCGTCCGTTTTGAAGGCCCCGCCCCTCAGTGAGACTCTGTCTCAAAATAAAAAAGAAGGTGAGCGCGTATATTACAAGGACTAGACATTTCAATTAAAAGACAAGTCATGTTTCTTATAAATATAAGTTTATATATTATATATATTTACAATATGTACACAGCGTACAAATATTTTAAATGTGATACTATGTGCAGTCTTGGAACTAGAGGTGTTTTCACAAGAAAAAGACGGGAACTTATCCACGGTGGGTTCCTGATTCACCTAGAACCCAACTCTGGACAACGCCCCAGGCCTGGGTTTCCGGGGACGTCAAAGAGAAAGGACAGGTGGCTGGGACACAGCTCTGACACACTCCCCCTTCTGGCACCAGTTGACACGGTCCAATGACAGCCCCCACGGCGGCCACTCAAGTGCCAGAGGAGTGACCGGAAACGAGTGCTTGTAATCACCGTCTCCAAGGCAGCGTTTCCACGATCTAGAAGATTCCGTCGCAGAGGGAAGGCTGCTCTGGGAAGCAAATTCTTCAGGTGTTTGCACTTTATAAGTAAAACCATCTACACATCCAGGTGCTGCTAAATAAATTAACAGTCAGCCACCAAGCGCCATTCCTTCCTCGTGCTTTGGAATCTGGGAGCTGATGACCACAGCACCAGTTTATCTTCCAAAAGTTTCCTCGCACTCCACCAGTTCGTCTATCGTGCGCAGCAGGTCTCCGAAGGAAGGCCTTCCCTCTGGTTTCTGCAATCAGAAGCCCAAGAGAAGCTGTGAGTTCCAGAATGCACTCCAAAAAAAAAAAAAAAAAGAATCCCTCGACTCTACTGGATGCCGAGGCAGGGAAGGAATGAGAGCGTTGAGCTTCGGAGTTGAGACCTGACCTGAGCAGACCGAGACCCTAACCGGTCTCTAACTGCATAAATATAACCAAGAAAGTATCTAGGCCGCAACAAACTAAAACATAGAAAAAAAAAGAGCGGGCATCGTGGCCTCGTTGCCTTGTAGTTCCAGCTACGTTGGGAGGGAGCGCGACGCAGAGGATAGGAACTGATGAAGCAGCCAAAAACAGGATGTGGCGAGGTTGCTCGTGGAGTCCTCCCGTATAAATGTATAAACCCACTTTAAACGCGGAACTCATAGCCGCCGGGAGCAACAGAGTGAACTTTGCTAAACACAACAAAACAAAACAAAAAAAAAAAACAAGAAAAGTTTCCAGCCCCAAGATGCCATGCAAGGCGTCCGTACTACAGACGGGGCTCACTGCTTGGGGTGGGACTACTCAGCGGCGTGGCTTAGGGGGTCTATCTCTACCCTCGTCTACACTGCAGGGAGTGATGCTAGGTTAGCTGCTCTCCTGTGACATCAAGTCCTGCCAATCTGCAGGGCCCTCTGCACCCCGCCCCTCCCCCGCCCCTTTGTCACCCTGTTTCATTTCCCACAGAGACCTCACGGGGGCCCTGGGTAAAGCCAGACTGCTCCCCGCCCCCGGTGCGTGTTTGCAAGCACCTCCTTGTGCCTTTGCCGGGCTCCTCTCTCACCCCCCCAACACCACTTCCTGCCCAGAAGGTGTCTGCCCACCCCAGGCGGTGCTCTGTCTGGGGAGATGTCACAGCAAGCCACCAACCCAGAGCGCCCCGGCTTTGGACCCGGATGGCCTGGGGCGCTGCCCTGGAGCTGACTGGGCTTGGGTTAGCTTCCATCAGCTTCACAAGCCTTCATCTTCTCATCGACATGGAGAAGCCGGAGGAAACCCGTCTACACCTCAAAGGGTTATTCTGAGAACTAAGTCTGAAGTGCTAAGTACTTACTGTGTTTAGTGCCCAGCACATGTGAGCTGGTGCTAGCCAAGTCTTTCAAAAGCCATTTTTGGACTCAAGACCACTGGAACATACTCAACTTTCATTACAGGACTGTGTGCGTGAAGTTTCTACCGTGTTGATTTGTCTGCTGATTTTTTTAAAAAATATATCTGCTAGTGGAAGAGAATGTTTTGCCCTGAAGATTCCGAAGTTGTCCAGGCTCATCTTGGCTCATGGATTGCAAAGAATAACGCTAGTTATAGCCAGTGGACTATTTTTTACTCTTTTTATATCAAATGTACACATGTCTAGGGGTGACGGTGGGAGCGGTGGCCTCTAATTACCTTATTTATATAAAACACTTGAATGGGCTCATCGATATTGCCATCACTATTTAATACTCTCGGTGTATTTTCTCAACATCTGTTTGCTTAAAATTGTGTACAGTGACATAATTAATGAGCAATAAAATCTGAATTACACACACACACACACACACACAAAGCCATTTTGGTGTCTAATCTCTTCCAGGACGTGCCACTTAAATAACTTCCAAAGACTAGGAGTAGAAAGACCCTGAGAAGTTGAGGTTTAGAGAGAGGAAAGGGTCTCTGGGAAATTGAGGAATATTTCTTTTATTTATGTATTTATTCTTTTAATTTTTAAAATGTATACATTTACTTTACTTCTCTCTCTCTCTCTCTCTCTCTCTCTCTCTCTCTCTCTCTCTCTCTCTTTTCTTCAGCCATGTGATTAGGGTATACTTAGAAAATGAGGAATATTTCAACGGCACAGGCAGTGGCCTGCAAGGAGAAGACAACTTCTCCAGGTTTGTTCCCTGAGAATGTCGCTCAGGCCACCGTGCAAGGACACCCGCTTGGGAGTGAGGCGGTGGCCTGAATTATTCAAATCAGGATGAGTTAAATAATTCTTCCACTTCTTTCCATTCTTCAGAACCGAGTTGAGAGCTTCAAGTTGCTACCAAATGTGCACACCTCGAGAGTTTACAGACACTGCACGCCTTCCATCTACCACGCCCGGTCCCCAGACGCACGGGGACAGCCAACAGTGGAGCACACACACAAACATCACCTCCTGCCAACACCGCAGCATGACCTCGTAGACGGAACTGGACGCCCACTTGGGCTGGTAGAGCCGGTGACCTCGGGTGATCATGGTGACCACTTCGTAGTTGGTGTATTTTTCAAAGGGCATGCGGCCTTCGGTAAATATTTCCCACATTAAAACACTGAAAGAAAGAAGAAAGAGGAGGGAGGGAGGGAAGGGAGGAAGGGAGAAAGGAGAAGGAGAAGAAGAAGAAAAAGAAAGGAAGGAGAGGAAGGAGAGAAGAAGGAAGGAGGAAGAGAAGGAAGGAAGAAGGAAGAGGGAAGAGAGAGAAAGAAAGAAGAAAGAAAGAAGAAGAAGAAGAAGGAAAGAAGAAGAAAGAAGAAAGAAAGAGGGAAGAGGAAGAGGAAGGGGGAGAGGAAGAGGAAGGGGGAGAGGAGGAGGGAAGGAGGAAGGAGGAAGGAGGAAGAGGAAGGAGGAGGGAAGGAGGAAGGAAAAGGAAGGGGAGGGAGGGAAAGGGAGGAGGGAAGGGAAGGGAAGGAGAGGGAGAAAGAGAGGAAAGGAAAAAGAAGAAAGAAAGAGAAAGAAGAAGAAAGAAGAGAGAAAGAAAAGAACGAAAGACGAAAGAAAGAAGAAAGAGAGGAGAGGGAAGGGAAGGGAAGGGAGGCAGAGAAGAAGAAAGAAGGAGAAAAAAAGAAAAAGAGTAAGAAAGAAGAAAGAAAGAAAAAGAAGAAAGAAAGAAGAAAGAAGAGAAGAAGAAGAGAAGGAAGAGAATCGGATTGTCAACGGATGCCACACTGCCTACGTGGGGACACTCGCGTGCCATGCAGCTTACAACGAACCAACGTCTGATTTGCCATGCTGAGCGGATTAGATAAACCTCGGGACACACTTCACGGAAACTGGCACCCGAAGAGCTCGTGTACTGATCGTCCAGGACGTACCTAGGGCGACACGCCACGTGGTCACACCGTCTGAAGTGACCCTCTGCATTTTGCGCGAACTTCTTCATGTATTATTCCCCTTTAACAGTCAAAAACCCAGTGGACTGAACCCACATCTGGGTGAAGCTAAACAATCAACCTCCGTGCCACCCACACCTCCGTGCAATGTGTCACCTCCGCTCAACAGCGCTCCACTCTGGGCTTAAGCGATCCTCCTGCCTCAGCTCGAGTAGCGGCATCACAGGCATGCGCCACCATGCCTGGCTAATTGTCTAATGGTGTTTGTTTTAGTTGGCATTAATTTCTTTCATTTTAGTAGAGCAGGGGGCAAGGGGGCGGTGGAGGGTCCTCCTCTTGCTAAGCGCTGTTCGAACTCTGACCTTGAAAGCGATCCTCCTGCCTCGGCCTCCCAGCTCCTTCTCAGGCTTCATTTAAGTGCATGCGATCAACGCACTGTCACACTGGCACGATACAAGTTTTGTTTTCGTTCTTTTTTTGTAAGACAATAGAGGCAGAATAGAATAAAATAGTGCACAAACATTTTTGCAAGTTGCTCTTACACAAATTTACCCCAACGCCATACTGTAAAAAAAATCTAAAGCGGAACTGCTCTAAAGAATGGTATTGAAGGTAGCTGAGACCGTGGGCTTGCCCCCAGATTCACAGAGCACAGTTTAGGTGAAGCATGTACATGGTAAATAAAGCAAATGCAAGAGAAAGCAAATGGCATATGCCATGTAAGTGTATATTTCTATTCGAACAACATCTCCACATCCACACTCCAAACATACCATGACCGTCATCTACGGCTCTGAGCCGAGGGCGGGAGATTGCTCAAAGGTCAGGATTCGAGACCAGCCTAGCAAGAGCGAGACCCCATTCTCTCCCCCTAAAAAAAAAAAACAAATTAATCATTATAAACGAATTAATTATATAACAAAAATAGACAATTAATATATTACAAAATATACAGAAAAAAATGACGGCCGTCGGTGGCGCATGCCTGTACGTCCCAGCTACTCGGAGTCTGAGGCAGGAGGATCGCTGAGCCCGGAGATTGAGCTTCTGTGAGCTAGGCGACGCCACGCGCCTCCACATCTAGCCTGGCACAAATGAGCTCTGTTCAAAAAAAAAGAAAAAGAAAAATTAGCCGCATGTGCGCACTGCCTGTTGATCCACCAGCTACTTGGAGAGCCTGAGGCAGGAGGATCGCTTGAGCCCAGGAGTTGGAGGCTTGAATTGACGCCACCACCAGCACTATAGCCTGGCGACAGAATTACAACTCTTCTCACTCAAAACTTCCCGCCCAAAAATAATAAATAATACAATAAATAAAAATAACAACCTATACTACACACTAGTGACAGAAATATTGAACACAAATGAACACTTATATTTATTAGAACCCATACATTTAATCATTCAGAACAGCTGATAAGATTTCCTATCTGCTTCTTCAGTGCATGCAGATTGTTCCCACAGCTATTAGTTCACACAATCAACAAGAATTCTCTCCAGCAACTGGTATAGCTGAAGCAGCACTAAGTGGCACACACAGGATATACAGTAAAGGTTTAGGCCAGGGGAGGGGGAGGGGGCGGTTATATACTACAAATGAGTGAGATGTGCCATCTGGGGGATGTCAACGCTGGGACTCAACTTGTGGGGGAAGGGGGAAATGGCATTATTGAACCTTAAAATCTGTACCCCCATAATATGCCGAAATAAAAATAAAAAAAATATTAAAAAAAAATATTTAAAAAAAAAATAACACGAATGTCACCTAAAGCCACATGTACTCAGACATACCTGGCCATCCCGAAATCGGATACTTTCACCACTCCCGTCTCGTTTACTAGGCAGTTTCTGGCAGCCTGGAAAACAATATGACGGTGGGTTAGTTCAAAAGCCCCACAATAGGGGGGGGGGAGGGAGGGGGGGGCAGGGGCAATATTTGTAACCCTAACAATATTTGTACCTCCATAATACGATGAAATAAATAAATAAATAAGTCCCACAACAGATGTAGAAAAACATAAGTTGTTTATATTAAATTTAGCATAACCCAGTCAACATTTGCGGAGGGTAGAAATGTCTCCTTCCAAGGTAAAGCCCCGTATGGAAGCGTCTCTGTCGTATATTTGAAAGAATGGACAGAAAGACAGGTCAGAAAGTCATTTTTGCAATGAAGCATTAATGCAATAAAGATTAATGATCTTTAATTGATAATTAATAATAATTTGATTAATAATCTTTAATCGATAATCTTTTTAATCAATAATCTTACTCAATAATCTTTAATCAATAAAGATTAATAATCTTCTTGCTGTAAAGATTAATAATCTCTGCCAATTGTCAGAAGTAAATAAGGACTAATGTAAGGGCCACCCTATTTTTCTCCCTCCCAAGAGCCTGTTCTTATTAAACTATCTGATTTACTATTATTAAACTATTATTACTATTATTAAACTATCTTAAACTATTATTAAACTATCTTATTGATAGCGGCAACGTCCCTTAAGGTCCTTAATCCAAGGCTCTCACTAGACGAGCATAACAACGCAAACAACCACAGTGATGGGTGACCAAACTCTTATCCAATGGCCCAGCTCGGTGATTGGCCACTTCCATCCAAACCAGTCAAAGAACAATGCCAGGTGCGGTGGCTCACGCCTGTCATCCTGGCACTCTGAGAGGCCGAGAAGGGAGGATCACTCAAGGTCAGGAGTTGGAGACCAGCCTGAGCAAGAGCGAGACCCCGTCTCTACTAAAAATAGAAAGAAATTAATTGGCCAACTAAAAATACATAGAAAAAAATGAGCCAGGGCATGGTGGCGCATGCCTGTAGTCCCAGCTACTGGGGAGGCTGAGGCAGGAGGATCTCTTGAGCCTGGGAATTTTAGTTTGCTGTGAGCTAGGCTGATACCATGACACTCTAGCCTGGGAGACAGAGTGAGACTCTGTCTCAAAACAAACAAACAAACAAAAAAGAACAGCTACCTCTATTAATAGTATATCATAACATGATATACTAAATTGGTCAGATGCAATTGTGGATTGATTTCTAGTTTCTTGCCCATTCTTCAAGATTAGAAGGTTCGAGCAAATAGTTTCGTAGGGAGACATGGTATTTTTTTAGAGGGAAGACATGGTATTTTTAATGCCTTGTAACTCATGGGCCAAGATGTGTTCTTCTTCCTGACTACTCAGAATTTTATTTTATCTATGTGGCAGTTCCACTTATATGAGGTTCTTTCCTGTTGAATGCATTTTAAGAGTCTCTTCTGAAATGAGAGCTAGGGAAGGCCTGTCCCCTAAACTGCCCCCATCTTCCCAGGAAGACACTCCACAATGCCTGCACTTGGTAGTAAAAAGGATTCTTCGCCCAGGAGACAGAAGTATTAGAATGTTCCATTAAGGCATGACCCAAACCTATCACAATAAGGTAAATATCCCAGGGACAAGAATATAAAACTTGGCTTTCACTAAGATATCATCTGTGTGTGTGGGTATAGTCTACCACACTCATGCACACGTTCAATTTTTATTAGTTTTATAAGTTACCAAAAAGAGGAAGGTGCTTAGTTCATGAGTTTCAATATGACATATGTTCTTTGTCATCACCAAGATAATGGTGACAATAACTGCTGTTATATATAGGATGTCTTATTTTACAAAGCCCTTCGGCCCATCATATAATGTGATCTTTAAAACAGTCTTAGGAGGCTGGGCATGGAGGCTCTGTCATCCTGACACTCTGGGAGGCTGAGGCTGGGAGGATGGCTCAAGGTCAGGAGTTCGAAACCAGCCTGAGCAAGAGCAAGACCCCGTCTCTACTATAAAGTAGAAAGAAATTAATTGGCCAACTAATATATATACAGAAAAAATTAGCCGGGCATGGTGGCGCATGCCTGTAGTCCCAGCTACTCAGGAGGCTGAGGCAGGAGGATCGTTTGAGGCCAGGAGTTGGAGGTTGCTGTGAGCGAGGCTGACGCCACGGCACTCACTCTAGCCTGGGCAACAAAGCGAGAGTCTGTCGCAAAAAATAAAATAAAATAAAATAAAATAAAATAAAATAAAATAAAATAAAATAAAATAAAATATGGAGCAAAGTCCCAAACGAGAATTACGTTCTTCTTGTTGAAAGAATCACCTTCAGGAATTACAGTGAGAAAGAGTGCTACTGATATGCTGAAAATAGACACATTTGTAAAGAAGAGGTGGAGAAAAAAAAAACAGAAGGAAAAGAAGAATGCAAGAGAGAAGGAGAAAGAGTGAGAGAAAAAAAATGAAGTGTCTTCATCACAATCATTTAGAACCAGTAACAGATTTCTTTTTCTCATATTTTCAGAAGTTCACATGGCCAGGCGCGGTGGCTCACATCTGTCATTCTAGCACTTTGGGATTACAGGGGCAATGATCACTTGAGGTCAGGAGTTTGAGACCAGCCTGAGCAAGAGGAAGAGCCCCTCCACCTCCCATCTCCACAAAAAGTAGAAAAAGTGGCCAGGCGTGGTGGCACACGCCTGAGGTCCCAGCTACTCGGGAGGCTGAGGCAGGAGGATCACTTGAGCCCAGGAGTTTGAGGCTGCTGTGAGCTATGATGATGCCACTGCACTCTAGCCTGGGCAACAGAGCAAAACTGTCTCAAAAAAAATAAATAAATAAAAGTTAACAAGGGCTTCCATGTTTTCCCAGTGATTTGGAGATAAAGAAAATGAACCAAAGCATTTCTCTTGCAGTTTCTGTTTATGATGTGTGGAAGGTGGAAAATAGCGTGGGATTTAGTAAGGTCAAGGCCAACCCTAACTTCCCTAATTATCATAGTAGATACGCAGTTTCACTTCCCTGGAGCTAATTTTCTTACCTGTGAACCTGTGATGGTAATAAAATCTGTTAGGAGTAGCTAGCTCATGGGATTCTTATGGAGATCAAATAATTAATGCATGCAAGCATGCTTGGAGATATGAACTGTGTAAATTATTAGATTAGATAAAGACCTTTCTTTCATAAAAGTTATGGGGCAAGTTAAATTTACCAAGTTACACATAATGGCGGAAACATGGCTAAAGAACAGAAAAACGGCGATTAGGCCGGCGCGGGTGGCTCACGCCTGTAATCCTGGCACTCGGGGAGGCTGAGGCGGAGGATCTCTGGGTGGGTCAGGGAGTTTCGAAACCAGCCTGAGCTAAGCAAGACCCCATCTTTACTTAAAAAAATAGAAGACAGTATTAATGGCCACACTGAATAATCAGCCGGCAAGGTGGAGAGGCTGAGTTTTCCCAGCTGACTGGGGAGGCTGGAGGCAGGGAGGATCGCTTGAGCCCAGGAGACTGAGCTGCGGTGGGAGCGAGGGGCGACGCTCACGGCACCTCACTCGTGTAGCTCGTGCCAACAGGAGTAGCCTCTTCTCAATAAAGATTTTTAGAAAATAGAAAGATAAAGAAATGGTGAAACATGTAAGAACAAAAAGGGGGGGGGATCGCTCGACCCTGTCATCCTAGCTCTCTGGGAGCCGAGGCAGGAGGATAGTCGGAGGTTAGGAATTCGGATCCAGGCCTGAGCAAAGAGGAGACCCCCATCTGGACTATAAATAAAAAGAGAGATTAATTGGCAATAAAGTATTATAGAAAAAAAATGAGGGCGGTCGTGGGTTGCGGGATGCCTGTGAGTCCCGCTGGCTATCTCGAGAGGAGCTGAGGCAGGGGAGGATCCCTTGAACCCAGGAGTCTGAGGTTGCTGTGAGCGAGGCTGATGCCCGTGCAACAGAGTGAGCCTCTGTCTCATTAAAAAATTATTAAAGTAATGGCGAGACATTGCTAAGAACAGACAGCGGGTGTCAACAGGACATGGCTCATCTGCTGGGCGAGTGTCACAAAGGAACGGGGCGGCCGGGTGACAGGTGCTGGGGGGTGTTACCAGGTCCCGGTGGATGAAGCCGTTCCTCTCCAGGTACTCCATGCCCTCGCACACGTCCTGGCTCATGCTGAGCAGCGCGTCCCTGCCCAGGTGGCCCTGGCGCTGGCGCAGGAAGTTGAGCAGGCAGCCGCGCTCCATGAACTCGGTGACGATGTAGACGGGCCGCCGCCGGGTGCACACGCCGTACAGCTGCACCAGCTTCGGGTGCGACAGCTTCCTGGCAAGGGGCCCGGGCGCACTCAGGGACATCGGCCACGGCGGGGAGGCCGTCCCCGGGTTTGGGGTGGCAGGGTGGGGTGGGGGGGGGGACCGAGTTTAGCGAGCAAACGGGCGGGCCGGGGAGAAGACGGCAACTCACATCATCACTTTGGCCTCCTCTATGAAGTCCTCCTCGCACATGGCGCCCTCCCTGATGGCCTTGATGGCCACCTTGTACTGGGCGCGCCACTTGCCCAGCCTCACCACCCCGAACAGCCCGCTGCCCAGCTCCCGCATGAAGGTCAGCTCGGAAGGGTCGATCTCCCATTTCTCTGCAAGACAGGAAGGGCAAGTGTAGACGCGGCGTCTGGAGGGCAGCGTGCACGGGGCCGGGGGTGGGGAGGGCAGAAAAAGGAGACTGTATAACCAGGTCGGCCTCAAAGCTACAGGGCAGGCCGGGGCGAGCGCTGGCTCACGCCTGGGAGGCCGAGGATAATCTGATTTTAAGAACATTCTGTCGTCACATTACAGAAGGAATCTTTTTTTTTTTTTTTTGGACAGAGTCTCGCTTTGCTGCCAGGCTAGAGTGAGTGATCGTGGCGTCAGCCTCGCTCACAGGCAACGACTCCCAACTCCTGGCCCAGCGATCCTCTGCTTCAGCCTCCCGCGAGGTAGCTGGGACTACAGGCATGCACCACCAATGCCGGCTCATTTTTTCTGCTATATATAATTCAGATTGGCAATATAATTTCTCTTCTATTTACTAGTAGAGACGGGGTTCGTCTGGTCAGGCTGGTTTTGAACTCCCCGACATCCCCACAGAGCAACGAAGATACTCCGCTCGCCATCCCAGAGTGCTGGGATGACAGGCGTGGAGCCACGCGCCGCCCGGACGCCAAGAAGCGAATCATTGTACCCAGTGGCTGTCACTCTGTCGCTCCTTTACCAGCCCAGCCCCCAGGTCACCGAGAACCTGGCTTTCTGCTCCTAGAATTTGCCCGTTCATGGACACCCACACATAATGGACCATACAATCAAAGACCTAAACGTCGTTTGTCTGTGATCAGCCTTGTTTGACTTAGTGTTATTTTGTTTTGACATCCACCAATGATCGATAGCATGCACTAAGAGTATTCATTCCTATCATATTCACACACTACCATCAAAGTAATAAATTGAAATATAATCAGACCAACTATAACAAATGCACAGGCTTGGCACAGTAATACACAGTGGCTTCTACTTATAACTGGGAATATGAATACAACATAGAACCTAGCACGACATTGGTGGAATGTTAGTTCTCAGCGCCGCATGAATAGTCTGTATTAAATTCTCACTATAAGAAAATACAACGATTCCAACTTCAGATAGAATCCTCTACAACGTGAGATAAGAGATCACAGCCTTCTTTCCACAATCTACCCGAGTTATTAACGATACCTGACTTGTGTTGAAAGTCGTGCTTCATCCTGCATCGTGGAACCCAAGGCCACAGGCCTGGCCGTGTAAGACTACAGACATAAGGATGTTACCAGGAAAATAATTGGACTGACATATTTATCCAATACAGAAGAGATTCCAGACAGGTGAATCGCAGTATGCGTTTCTAGCCACGATGACTTCTGAACACATATTATTAACGATCATTGAAATCATTGTGTACTCTAGCTTAACAATAGTCCAGAGAAGAAGTCTTGGACAAAATGGAATCATAAGATTTACGAGAAGTTATTCTGGAAATACGAATATCCATTAGCTATTTTACCTGATAGCATAATAGATAAACACCATGTAAATCAAAAAGATTCTAGTTATGTATCCATACATATGATAATTATATGATATCATCAGTAATGAATGGACATGTGGCGCTGTTTCCACATGTTGGGTGCCTTATGAATAACGAGGCCTTGATAGCTGTGTGCAAAGTTTTGGCATGGACATGCATTTTTCATTTCCTTGGGTATTTTACCAACCAAAAATTAGCAGGAGGTAAAAGGCCACGTCATATGCATAAGACTCTGTGTTTAATACTTTTATTTTTTTTTGACGACAGAGTCTCGCATTTGCGAATAATATTACAGGCATAAGTAGCAGTGCCCGTGGCGTCAGCCTACGCTTCAGCAACCTCAATCTCTGGGCTCCAGCGATCCTCCTGCCTCAGCCTCCCCGAAGTGCTGGGACTAACAGGCATGCCCTACCGAGATGCCGGCTAATTTTTTTATATACTTTCCAGGTTGGCCAATTATATTTCTTTTCTTATTATAGTACGAGACCGGCGGTCTCGCTGCTTGCTCAGGCTGGTTCGAACTCCTGACGTCTGAGCAATCCGCTCGCCTCAGGCCTCCAAGGAGCTAGGATCTACAGGCGTGAGCCACAGCGCCGGCTGTGTTTAACTTTGAGGGAACTTGATTTCGTATCAGTGTTTACTTCCCAGAGAACTTTTTCACATCACTTTCCTTCTCTTTTTCTCTTTTTTTCTTTTTTTTTTTTTTTGAGACAGGGTCTCATTCCATTGCACGGCTACAGTGAGTGGCCGTCGGCATCAGCCTAGCCACAGCAACCTCAACTCCTGGGCTCAAGCGATCCTCCCTGCCTCAGCCTCCCGAGTGGCTGGGACTACAGGCATGCGCCACCATGCCCGCCATTTTTCTATATATATTAGTTGGCCAATTAATTTCTTTCTATTTTAGTAGAGATGGGGCCTGGCTCTTGCTCAGGCTGGTCTCAAACTCCCGAGCTTGAGCAATCCTCCCACCTCGGCCCTCCCAGAGTGCTGGGATTACAGGCCTGAGCCACCCGCCCGGCCAGGATGTCGGTACTTTGAGATGGGAGTCTGCCAGCTCCTCATTTGCCGCAGATTAATAAACTTCTCTTTCTCCTAAAAACAAAGAGAGAGAGAAAAGAAAATCGTGAATGGACAAAAGCATATCTAGCGCAGCGCTGCATGCACATACAGAGATGAGGATTACATGAATAAGTGAATGCATCTCATAAGCGGTGTTCTAGTTTAGCATTTCACCACAGAATGTTATGAATGAAGCTGACTGCAATACTTTCTTTGATTACTAGGACTTGTCACAAGACTGCGGTACCGCGGTTAGCACGAAAGGGAAGAATGCACCAACCACTGCAGGATCAGCTATGGTAACTCTCATCCCGTGGTTGCCTTTGGCTCATTTTCCTGGAAAGAATCCACTGTCACGAGACAAATTTGGAGCTGAATTCCACCTAGCAGAGTTGGTTTCTGCTAAGCTTATAATATGGGTTTTTAGATGGTACCATTTATAGCTGTCGTGATCCTAGGTTTTCTCTTTTCGTCGTTATTCATAATTCAGTAGGAAACTTTTTGTCGGTGAAAAATAAGCATGATTGGCCGGACGCAGTGGCTCACGCCTGTCATCCCAGCACTCTGGGAGGCCAAGGTGGGAGGATCGACTCAAGGCCAGGAGTTCCGAAACCAGCCTGAGCAAGACAAGACCCCTCTATTACTAATAAAGTAGAAAGAAATTAATCTGGCCACTAACATATACATAAAGAAAATGTAGCCCGGGCATGGTGGCCATGCCTGTTTCCCAGCTACTGGAGGCTGAGGCAGGAGGATCCTTGGAGCCCAGGAGTTGGAGGTTGCTGTGAGCTAGGCTGACGGCAAGCGCTCAGCTAGCTGGGCAACAAAGCGAGACTCAGTCTCAAAAAAATAAAAAATAAAAAAAATAAGCATGATTATGTCACAATCTAAAATTAATCGGAGCCCTTCCTGGTTCTCAGCAGCTGCGCTGGTTACTCACGGAATGTTTTAGTGGTGGAGGTAGCAGAGAAGACCCCCAACTTGATTGTCTCTGTTGCTTCCGGCAAAGCCCCCCCCCTTTTTTTTGAGACTGAGTCTCACTCTTGTTGCCTGCGCTAGAGTGCCGTGGCTCACAGCAGTCTCACATCCAGCTCCAAGCGAATCATCCTGCCTCAGCCTACCCGATAGCTGGACACAGGCGTGTGCCACAATCCCGGCTCATTTTTCCTCTACCTATTTTTAGTTGTGCAACTAATTTTTTTCTATTTCTTTAGTAGAGACGGGGGTCTCGCTCTTGCTCGGGCTGGTCTGGAACCCCTGACCTCGAGCGGTCCTCCCGCCTCGGCCTCCCGAGTAGCTGGGACCACAGGCGTGCGCCACCATGCCCGGCTCATTTTTTTCTCCATTTATTTTTAGTTGTCCAACTAATTTCTTTCTATTTCTTTAGTAGAGACGGGGGTCTGGCTCTTGCTGGGGCTGGTCTCGAACCCCTGACCTCGAGCGATCCTCCG